CCAAATCTTGTCATACCTTGAGCAGCAGTTTCAATAACGAACTTAGGCTTGATGAGAGTTCTTGATGGCACCAAAGCAACAACCTTTGCGGGTGTTTGATACTCAAAGAAGCTACAACCTTTTTCAAATCATCGTGAACAATTGGAGTAATCATTTTTGTTCCATACCATTCATAATCTTTCTCGATCATACTGACATTGGCGCCCCCATGATTTGGCAACAGGTTGGTGTTGACATTTGGTGCCGCTGGTTGGAGAAAGATGACCTCTTGGTTAATCAAATCCTGAATTTTGTGCTTGAGGTTGATACAATCCTCAGTATCATGCCCAACTATGTCGGAATGATAAGCACATCTCTGATCAAGTCTGTAGAAGTTTGAATTTACATCCACGAGTTTGGGCCACACATGGTGGATGTATCTGGTAGCAACCAGTCGCTCGTACAACTTTGTTCGTCTTTCAGCGAGCGTAGTGAAGTTCCTTGAAAGATTCTTCTCGAATCTAGGTCGGGGAGGTTCATAACTGCCTTGTTGAGGAGGAGGCACCCGTTGATAACTATTGGTATTTGGACGAGGAGCTTAGCTTCGGGATATGGATTTGTTTTGCAGTTTGATGATGGAGCTTGGTAATTCGGGGGAGAATTTTGGTATAGTGGAACTTGGACTTGATAAACAGGAGGGGGTACTCGGTAGCTCGACTGAACGTTAGCCTAGTTGGGAGCAACACCCTGTTAAGGAGATGGAATTTGGTAGGGTGGAGGATGATTTGGGTAAATGGGAGATGGATTTTGGTAATTTGGGGGTAGACTTTGGCATAATGGGCTTGGACGTTTCGATAAGTGGAGGTGACATTCTGATAAACTGGAGGATATTTTGGATGACTAGCTTGTGTGTAGCAAGCTTGGTGGGAGTTTTGAGAAGGTAGAAAGCGACCTTGAGAATATGACGAGCTTCTGGGGGTTTTCCTTGCCACATATGAAACAACAACGATTTCCTCTCTTTTCTTTTTCAAAAACCCTGAAGATCCAGGTGTTGCGGCTACGCGGACTATCTTTCCTGATTTTAAACCGTCCTCGATAGTCTCACCAATCTTGACTATCTCAGCAAACTTTGCTCCAACGAGCAACATAATTCTATCATAATATTTAGGCTCTTGCACGCGCACGAATACTTCAACAATTTCTTTCTCAGACATGGGTGGTCTCACCCTTGCCTCTGTTTTTCTCCAGCTATAGGCGAACTCCCAATATCTCCCGGTTGATTTTTGTTTCATCTTCTCCAAAGAGCATCTGTCTGAAACAATTTCTACGTTGTAATCAAATCGATCAATAAAATCATTGGCCAATGCATTTCAGCAGGGCCATTGCTTGGTTTCATGCGATATGAACCATTCAGGAGCTTCTCCGCACAGGCTTCGACTGAATATCTTGAAAAATATGAGCGCGAACAAAAAGAATTTGTGAAAAACTTTTTAATTTTGGAAAGGCTATTGACGCAACACATCCATTTCGCCCGACCTGTTTAAGTTTGGAGGTTCTTGATCCGTTCATTCGTTAGCTCAACCCAATTCACCACAACCCATTGATTTTCGACTCACCTAAAGTAAACAAAAAAATATCGAACGATTTCAACTAAGAATATTTACTAATTTTTCTAATACAACAACTTAAACAAAGGTCAATAGAAAAAAATTGGTGTGTATTTCAGAAAAACCTATAATAAATAAAAGAAATCATTCGAGAAACAAAAAAACTTAGCTATATTCGACTTTTAGTAAAACAATCAACACAAAAAATGGCATAGTAATGATTTTTTTAGATATGAAACACGTTCTAGATATTAGCAAGAGTTGCAATTATTTCTTTAACCGATAAAGTGATAGTCTGCTTAGTTAAGTAAATTATGCACCTGAATAAATTTGTAAGCCCATTTTTTAGATAATGTCAAAATACTTTATTTTTCTCGATAAATTGAACTCCCATTAATCAGTTGTTGTTTTGACATTTGTATAATTTCCCCCCCTCTTTTAATATCATAAATTGTTGTTATTGCTCTAATTGTGGCGAAGGTCCAATATGTGCATTTAGTTAAGTAATCAAATAAAAGATTACTGTTACATGATTAATTTACAGGTACAAAATATTATATTACATAAGGTTATAGTTGTACATTCGTTTCAAACAAAGCAATAACAAGAATTTGATGGGATTAAAAGAGAACAAAAAATAATCTTAGCAGAACGACAACTAATTGGTTGCATATTTGAACATTATCAAATATCTAATGTGGAGTCCAAGTTAGAGAAGAACGAGTGCTTCGAATTATTTCATAGAACTACTTTCAAATTTGCTGAGTAATATGGTATAGTTGAAGGAGGAGATCATCACAACATCGTGAAAAAAAGTCAATGCAAATATTTGTTATTTAATCTCAGAAATAAATCACCTTAATGGTATTTCTATTATTTCTGATTGTTGATTTTTAGTATTTGTTTTTGAGATAAAAAGTATGAATATAAAACTTTGGATTAGTGAAATATGTTGAAAAATATGAGCTCGAATAAAAAGAATTTGCAAAAAACTTTTTAATTTTAGAAGGGCTGTTGACGCAACCCATCCATTCCGCCCAAGCCGTTTAAGTGTGGAGGTTGTTGATCCGATCATTTGTGAGCTCAACCCAATTCACCACAATCCATTGATTTTCAACTCACCGAAAGTAAACGAAAAAATATTGAACGATTTCAAATAAGAATCTTTACTATTTGTTCAAATACAACAACTTAAACAAAGGTTAATGGAAAAAAATTGATCTGTATTTCAGAAAAAACTATAATAAACAAAAGAAATCATTCGAGAAACAGAACACTTCGCTTTATTAGACTTTCAGTAAAACAACCAAAACAAAAAAAATACCATAGTAATGATTTTTTTAGATATGAAACACGTACTAGATATTAGCAAGATTTGCATTTACTTCTTTAACCGATGAAGTGATAATCTGCTTATTTAAGTAAATTATGCACCTGAATAAATTTGTAAGCCCATTTAACAGGTAATGTCAAAATACTTTTTTTGATAAATCAAACTCCCATCAATCAGTTGTTGTTTTGACATTTGTATAATGTTTTCTCCTCTTTTAATATCATAAATTGTTGTTATTGTTCAAATTGTGGCGAAGGTCCAATATGTGCATTTAGTTAAGTAATAAAATACAAGATTAATGTTACATGATTAATTTACAGGTACAAAATATTATATTATATAAGGTTATAGTTGTACATTCGTTTCAAACAAAGCAATAACGACAATTTGATGTGATTGAAAGAGATTGAAAAATAATCTTGGCAGAACAACAACTAATTGGTTGCATATTTGAACATTATCAACTATCTAATGTGGAGTCCAAGTTAGAGAAGAACGAGTGCTTCGAATTATTTCATAGAACGACTTTCAAATTTGCTGAGTAATATGGTATAGTTAAAGGAGGAGATCATCACTGCATCGTGAAAAAAAATAAATGCAAATATTTGTAATTTAATCTCAGAAATAAATCGCCTTAATGGTATTTCTATTATTTCCGATTGTTGATTTTTAGTGTTAGTTTTTGAGATAAAAAGTATGAATATAAAACATTGGATTAGCGAAATATGTTGAAAAATATGAGCGCAAATAAAAAGAATTTTCCAAAAACATTTTTAATTTTAAGCAGGCTATTGACGCAACCCGTCCATTCCGCCCGACCCGTTTAAGTTTGGAGGTTGTTGATCCGTTCATTTGTTATCTCAACCCAATTCACCACAACCCATTGATTTTCAACTCACCTAAAGTAAACGAAAAAATATTGAACGATTTCAAATAAGAATCTTTTCTAATTGTTCAAATACAACAACTTAAACAAAGGTCAATAAAAAAAAATTGGTCTGTATTTAAGAAAAACCTATAATAAACAAAAGAAATCATTCGAGAAACAGAAAACTTAGCTATATTAGACTTTCAGTAAAACAATAAAAAAAAGTAATAATTTATTTAGATATGAAACACGTATTAGATATTTGAAAGATTTGCATTTACTTCATTAACCGATGAAGTGATAGTCTGCTTATTTATGTAAATTATGCACCTTAATAAATTTGTAAGCCAATTTAACCGAGAATGTGAAAATACTTTTTTTCGATAAATCGAACTGCCATCAATCTGTTGTTGTTTTGACATTTATATAATTTTTTCTCCTCTTTTAATATCATAAATTGTTGTTATTGCTCTAATTGTGGCGAAGGTCTAATATGTGCATTTAGTTAAGTAATCAAATACAAGATTAATGTTACATGATTAATTTATAGGTACAAAATATTATATTACATATGGTTATAGTTGTACATTCGTTTTAAATAAAGCAATAACGACAATTTGATGCGATTAAAGAGAACGAAAAATAATCTTAGCAGAAAAACAACTAATTGGTTGCATATTTGACCATTATCAAATATCTAATGTGGAGTCCAAGTTAGAGAAGAACGAGTGCTTCGAATTATTTCATAAAATGACTTTCAAATTTGCTGTGTAATATGGTATAGTTGAAGGGAGAAGATCATCACTGCATCGTGAAAAAAAGTAAATGCAAATTTTTGTTATTTAATCTGAGAAATAAATCTCCTTAATGATATTTCTATTATTTATGATTGTTGATTTTTAGTTTTAGTTTTTGAGATAAAAGTATGAATATAAAACTTTGGATTAGCGAAATATGTTGAAAAATATGAGTGCGAATAAAAGAATTTGCAAAAAACTTTTTAATTTTAGACGGGCTGTTGATGCAACCATCCATTTTGCTCGACCCGTTTAAGTTTGGAGGTTGTTGATCCGTTCATTCGTTAGCTCAACCCAATTCAACACAACCCATTGATTTTCAACTCACCTAAAGTAAACGAAAAAATATTGAACGATTTCAAATAAGAATCTTTACTAATTGTTCAAATACAACAACTTAAACAAAGGTCAATAAAAAATGACATTAACCATATTCTAATTACAGGAAATTTTGCTAAGACTAATATCCTTTATTGTTGTTACAGGAAAGGAAAAGATGACATTAACCATATTCTATTTACAGGAACCTTTGCGAAATATATTTGGAGAATACATGCAGCAAGATTTGGAGCACATCCAAGTCTGAGAAGTCTGTTACTGCACCGGAGAAGTCCGCCAGTGCAGAATGAGGTACAAAAATTGATTTATCAAATTTTACCTAACTTCATTTGTTGGAACTAGTGGAAAAACACGTGTGCTGTCAAACATGGAGGCAAACAGTCAAGTATTTAAAGGGTGCAATATTCGATTTTAAAGACATAACATAGGTTATAATAGTAGCATTTCCTAATATACCATGGCAGCCTAACTTGGACATGTTGATCAGTTTTGCTGATAACTGTCAACAACAAGTTTAGGTAACCAAGGTAATTTGGGACCAACAGCAGGCAGATGCAAATTAAACACTGATGGAAGTGCACTACACAATCCAAATAAAATAGGAGGAGGAGGCATTTTAAGAGATCATCAAGGTAAGTTGATATATGCATTATCTATTCCTCTTGGTTTTGGAACTAACAACATTGCAGAGAGCAAAGCTGTCTTATATGGACTCACTTGGTATGAACAACATGGATACAAGCATATTATATTGGAAGTAGATTCAGAATTATTGAGTAAATGGAAAGCTAACACAATAGGTATTCCATGGAGATGCCAACAAACAATCCAACAAATTCAAGAACTTAGCAACAAGCTGGAATATTTCCAATGTAAACATGTTTTTAGGGAAGCCAATGGGACAACTGATCTATTACCAAAATGGAGCTACAAACAAGATATTATACAACATTTTTACACTCAACAACAATTAGTTGGAGCAATTAGAGGAAACTACATACTGGAGAAAATGGGAGTGCAATCATTTAGAAGAAGAAAATTGAAGAGGATTAAACAACCACCATAGTCATCAACAAGGCAACAATAGAGGAAAGACATGGAGGGTTAAAAATATGCTCAAGTACTTATCTAGATATATGTAGTTGAATAGGTTATCTTTTTCAAAATTCTCTTGTAAAGGGAGAGTCTCGCTAATTCATGTTTTCTTAGAAACTTTGTATTATGAGAGGAGTCCTCTCTAGGTGCTTAGTTTTATTAGATTACAACTCAATGTAATAGGGTAAGTTGATGAACCTTAGTAGGTAAATCAACTATATACCCAACATAGGATAGAAGGTAAGGTTTATGTCCCCCTCTATGTATATTTTGATTATAATAAATGATAAGGCTTGGGGTGTTGCTCAGCCCCTGACCCACCACAAGGGTCGTTTACCATCTCCCATTTACCCAAATCATCCTCCACCCTACCAAATTTCATCTCCCTAATAGGGTGTTGCTCCCAACTATGCTAATGTGCAGTCGAGCTACCGAGCACCCCCTCCTGTTTATCAAGTCCATGCTCCACTATACCAAAATTCTCATCCGAATTACCAAGCTCCATCGCCAAACTACCAAACAAATCCATATCCCAAAAGCCAAGCTACCCATCCAAATACCAGAAGTTATCAACACGTGCCTTCTCCTCAACAAGGCAGTTATGACCCTCCCCGACCTATATTCGAGAAGAAGCCTTCAAGGAGCTGAAAGACGAACAAAGCTGTACGAGCGACTGGCTGCAGCCTGATACATCCACCATGTGGGGCCCAAACTCGTGGATGTAAATTAAAAATTCTACAAACTTGATCAGATATGTGCTTAGCATACCAACAATGTTGGGCATGATACTGAGGATTGTATCAACCTCAAGCACAAAATTCAGGATTTGATTGACCAAGAGGTAGTCTCTCTCCAACCAGCGGCACCAAATTTCAACACCGACCCGTTGTCGAATCATGGGGGCATCAATGTCAATATGATCAAGAATATGATGAGCGGTCTAGAACGAAATTTATTACTCCAGTTGTTCACGATAATTTGGAAAAGACTGTAGCTTTTTTGAATATCAAAGAGAAGAAAGAGTTCATTATTTTTGAAACCCGCAAAGGTTTTTGCTTTGGTGCCATCAAAAACTCTAATCAAGCCTAAGTTCGTTATTGAAACTGCTGCTGCTCAAGGCATGACCAGATCTGGAGGATGTTACATTCCTGACCAGATCTGGAAGATGTTAAAATATTATTATTGAATATTAACTCCCACCCTCCCTATTTGCATATGAAATTTGACGGAGTTTTAAACGTACTTCTATCTCTCTTCTCACATCTCGAGAAAGCTGTAAAGGCTCAATCTCACTATTTCGAGACAACCACTTACAATAATGACACGCAGGTCCCAAAACGAAGTATAGAATTATAAGAGAGATGAAGAAGCCCGTCGCGGTTCCTATTTTATTTCGTTCCTTTAGTACCGTATTTTGTTATGATCGGGCTTAAGCCCTTGTCGTCTTTCATTATGGTATTTATTATGTATTGTATATTTTATTAGAACTTAGGACAGGTACTCGAGATGATAAAATTGGTCAAAAACCCAAAATAGGTGGGTCTAATACCATTATAGGTGAAAAGAAAATCCAATTTTGGACCCTATCTGTCTCTCCCTCTCTCACTTTATCTCTTTATATTGTTTATTTATATATTGACTATATGACGTTAGTCTTAAGGTTAGATAGATTCAAATCCTCCGCAAGATTCCATCTCGTTTTAATCACTTATTTTAAAGCGACTAAAAATAAATCTGGCAAGCCTTATTTAGATAATAAAATCAAAATTTTATTTCCGAAAGCATTCCTAGTTAGTTTAAGTTTAGCCAAACAATATTAGCTCTCGGATAGCCGTATTTAAATGGGTATTTGAGTTGTCTTAAACACCTTCCTAAAATACAATATGAATCTTCGAACCCCCTATCTATTTAAATCTTTTGGAAACGTCAGTTTTCTTGATTTTTCTTCAAAAATTAAGTGGCAAATCTAAAAAAGTCAAAAACTCTTCAAAACATTTTTTTTCTTTTCCATATAAAACAATACTCACCAATGAATATATTACTGAAAGTAATGAAATTACACACACTGCTCTTTACGTAGTGATAAACAATTATCAAATTATATTAGTGTAGATATTTGATTCACCTGAAAAGTACTATCTTTTTGTTTTGTTTTAGCATTCTTGAAGGTAAGACAAGCATAATAAAATAAATTAGATTAAGTTATCAATTTTAATATATAAAAAATGATATTTTCATCTTTACTTAATATTTCAAATAAATAAAGCCCGATCTGATCCCATTGAAGCTGCCGAAGATGAGTGATATTAGTCTTAGGCATCCTTCCAACCAATTATCATTTACCAAACCTCTATCAAGCCTCTTCGAAATTCTATCCCCATCTTTCCTATGATTACACCAAGTATATGGTTGTCCATTATAACCCATATCCACTAATCCACAAGATTATATCATGTTGATAAATTCAAAGCTTTTGTTTATATTGTAGTCTCTACCACCCAACTTTTCTTGAGTAGAAGTAATCACATTAAAATCACCAATTATACACCAAAGTTGAACCGTTTCAGCCAACTTTAACATGTTGTCCCATAAAGGTCTGCTCAAATAATCCTTGCATTAGGCATACACATATGTTATACTGAAAGTGTCATTGCAGTCATCAAGAGTAACATCACAAGTAATATGCTGTTGATTCATATCAACCACATTACATTTCACCTCTCTAGACCAAAATAACCATATTTTATATTCAAATTACTATAGCAATTGTCCATCAACATCTTCATTCTATAATACTCCAAATGAGATTGGTTAGAAAAAGTTTTTAAAATAGCAATCATAGACAAAATATGCATTTTCCTAAGATTTATCAATCTTTCAAGAGAACCAAAGGTATTAATGCTCCTAGCATTCCAGCAAATAATTTTAATCATTATAAACCTCTACTCCTAACTCTTGTATTTGGTTTACTAGTACTAGCATTTTTATTATGTCTAGAAACTTTTCTCCCCCTTGGTGACAGCCCTTGCTTCCTAGCAACTTCTCTAACCTCCTCTACATTAGATGATTGAATTATAAGACCCTGTTGATAATGGTGAGAAGCATAAATGTCCTCCTTTGTGTTTAAACCTCCCTCTAAAGAGTGAGTATCTGCATCATACTCATGTTCAGAATCAGGCTCCCCATATTCATAAAAATAGTCATCTTTTTTATGACTTCTAGAATCTTGCCCTGTTTCTATTTGCATTTTTTTTCCTTTCTTAGTATTTAACTGATGAATACTTTCTGTATTACTTTTATCAGGAGGTTCTCTATCTTCATTTATAAAAAAAACCCTGTTCATTAACTTTCTCTTTCCCTTTAGATAATCTTTCCAGATTCTATCTGATTTCCTCTTGACAATATCCATCCTCACCTCCAACAGCTACTCCAACAGACACAATATTTAAAGTAGTATTACTTTGAAGTATAGAATCAATACCTGGTCTGTTTACAATAATTTTTTGATCTCCATCATGTTCTGTCCTGCTAACTTATTTTTCCATCATTTGTTGCCTACTAACTTGCTCCCTATTAACATTGCTACCTTCAATATAAACATGTCCTTTATTTATCTGATGTTGTCTATATATATTTTCAATATAAGTATTTTTTGTGGGAATAGCAACTCTACCTGTTTAATCCTGTTGCTGCTGATTTACCCTCGCAACATTGAATTTTACTTGTTGATTCCTCCTCCTATGAGTTTGCCATTCATCCTACTGTATCTGCTGTTGGTTTGTTTGATTTTGATGTCTTTGAGGATTGATATCAGCCTCCCTTCTTCCTGTTTCCATGTTCTTAGAAACCTGCAAATCTTTTTGAAAATTCTGCAAACTGTCTTTCCTAGACTTATTTTTATCCAACTCTTTCCTTTTTTTACTTTCTTCATCTCTTTGCTTAATGATACAATCAGCCTCTTTATGACCTTGGTGTTTACAATAAAAGCAATAATCAGGTATGTTATCATAGTCAATTTTCTGCTATCTACCATCAGTGATATCCTTCCCCATGTAACCCATCCAAATATGAGGAGGTCTATCCTTAGTAAGATCAACTTGAACCTTAACACGAGCCTGACTTCCCCTAGTTTTATTTATAGAAGAAGAATCTAAATACAGAATTCTACCAATAGGAGATAATAAACTAGTTATGAACTTCTTATTATAACAATGCCAAGGCAGTTCAGGAAGAGAAATCCAAATAGGCACTAAAAGAGTCTCTTCATCAGGTTTAAAAGTAGGTGTCCAAGCCTGAATTCTTATAATCTGCCCTGCTATGGTCATTCTTTGTTTTGTCCAAACCATGTTAAAATCTAGGTCATTATCAAGGTCAATATAAACATGTCGAGAATTAAAGTGGGCAATCTTAACACCCCTTGATAACTGTGTTTGAAGTATAAAATTTTTCCTAATCAATTCTACTCTAGGCATGGTATAAACAAATTTACCAATGAGAGTGATTTTGCAAGTACAAGCTAAATCCTTAATAACCTCATCTTTCACATACAGAACAACAAGCAGACCCTGTTTTGTAGTAATTTCAGGATCAGTTAATTTGATTCTAACTCCACTCTTTGATTGATTATACCTTAACATATCAGCATATGTTTGAATAACAGTGTAAGGAGCCGATTGTGGAACTTGATCTTTCTTAGGAAAATTATTAACATTTCCTAAAGGTTGATCAATTTTATCATTCGAACTCTTATGAACAGGTCGATCAAAATTTCTAGAATTTTTTGGGAAATTAGCTTGATACTCAAAATCTTACTGTCTATCATACTCATTATCATTATTGTAAAGACGAGCAGTGATGTTACCTGGTGCATTTTCTGATCTATTGTTGTGAAAAGCAGATCTAGAAGACTCACCAACCTTACTCATTGACGGTTGAAATACCTCCTTCGATCCTTGAGTTCTTATTGTTATATTTCTAATATTTGCAAGTCGATGAAAATCAAGATTTGGATCGTGTTCCTTGTTCGAAGTGGGCATACGCTGTTGTTGTTGGGTAAATCAATTATCTCGATTAATCCTCTGCAATTCGTGTTGTGGTTGATCGAATCGAGTTGCCTGTTCTTTAATCCTCGCAGCAATTTCTCCTTCTTTTCGCGAGTCGATATTTTGAACTCCCACAGCCTCCAAAGCTTGTTGATTATGCTCATCGATTACTGGAGAAGGATCTCCAATACCAGAATCTTTTAGATTGTCTTTCGATTGTACTCGACTTTGAGTCAATTGCGCTGATTACTTTTCTTGCGATGGAGATTGACTTTGAATCGATTACACCGTTTCCTTTCCTTGTGACTTGCGCATTTAGACCTCGCATGTTCATCGCCTAGCAGAATCTCACTTTTCATACCACTAATTGTTTTACCCCCTGTCAAAGTTGTGACGATCTTCATCCATGTCCGTCTCCACTGTAGCAGTATGGATCGCCTCTTCCCTCAACTTCGAAGAGGTGGACGATTCTTCCTCCGTCACTTCGTGTATTGATGATTGAGTATTTGGATTCCTCCCCACCATCGATGGATCTGGAGACCTAAAACAATCATCCTATGGTACTCCAGCCATCCCAAACTTCCAAAATTCTCAACAATTAGCTAAGCACCTAATTCTTGTGGGGTTACGTAAGAAAATTCTTTGAAAGAATTCTAGAGAGAGAAAATTTAGAGAGAGAAAAAATTCAGAAAATAAGAAAGCGATAGGTAAATGGGAGATGGATTTTGGTAATTTGGGGGTAGACTTTGGTATAGTGGAGCTTAGACGTTTGGATAAGTGGAGTTGACATTCTAATAAATTGGAGAATATTTGGGATGACTAGCTTGTGTGCAGCAAGCTTGGTGGAGTTTTGAGAAGGTTGAAAGCGACCTTGTGAATATGACGAGCTTCTGGGGGTTTTCCTTGCCACATATGAAACAACAACGATTTTTTCTCTTTTCTTTTTTAAAAACCCTGAAGATCCAGGTGTTCCGGCTACACAGCCTATCTTTCCTGATTTTAAACCGTCCTCGATAGTCTCACCAATTTTGACTATCTCAGCAAACTTTTCTTCAACGATCAACATAATTCTATCATAATATTAAGGCTCTTGCACGCGCACGAATACTTCAACAATTTCTTTCCTAGACATGGGTGGTCTCACCCTTTCCGCCTTTTTTCTCCACCTATAGGCGAACTCGCTATAGCTCTCGGTTGATTTTTGTTTCATCTTCTCCAAAGAGTATCGGTCTGTAACAATTTTTACGTTGTAATCAAATCGATCAATCAAATCTTTGCCCAATGCATTTCAGCTGGTGCATTGCTTGGTTTCATGTGATGTGAACCATTCAAGAGCTTCTCCGCAGAGGCTTCGGCTGAATTTCTTGAAAAATATGAGCGCGAATAAAAAGAATTTGCAAAAAACTTTTTAATTTTGGACAGGCTATTGATGCAATACATCCATTCCGGTCGACCCATTTAGGTTTGGAGGTTGAGGATCTGTTCATTCATTAGCTCAACCCAATACAACACAATCCATTGATTTTATATACCTAAAGTAAATGAGAAAATTGAACGATTTCAAATAAGAATCTTTACTAATTGTTCAAATACAACAACTTAAACAAAGGTCAATAGAAAAAAATTGGTCTGCATTTCAGAAAAACCTATAATAAACAAAAGAAATCATTCGAGAAACAGAAAACTTAGCTATTTTATTAGACTTTCAGTAAAACAATCAAAACAAAAAAAAATACCATAGTAATGATTTTTTTAGATATGAAGCACGTACTTGATATTAGCAAGATTTGCATTTATTTCTTCCACCAATGAAGTGATAGTCTGCTTATTTAAGTAAATTATGCACCTGAATAAATTTGTAAGCCTATTTTTCAGATAATGTCAAAATACTTTCTTTTCGATAAATCGAACTCCCATCAATCAGTTGTTGTTTTGATATTTGTATATTTTTTTCTCCTCTTTTAATATCATAAATTGTTGTTATTGCTCTAATAGTGGCGAAAGTCCAATATGTGCATTTAGTTAAGTCATCAAATACAAGATTAATGTTACATGATTAATTTACAACTACAAAATATTGTATTGATGATAGTCTAGTTTCTTTGTAATGATTTGTTTATCCAGTTAACTTAATCAAATATTACTTTTTATGCATATTATCACTATAATTATTGACCAATAAATAAGTTATTCTCTCCAAACCTTTTCAATCACATGATATCAAAGCTTAGTCCAACTAGAAAGTGTAGTATGTCAAACCTTCTAATTAGTCATCACAAAAATTAGGAAAATGTGGAGATGCGAGTGTGGATCAATCTTGGTTAGAATATCAGATTTGATGTAACCTTTAAATTGCTTATATTTATTTAAGTGAGGAAACATGAATAATTCTATCAGATACTAACTAAACATACCAAAGATTAAGTGTATTATGCAATACTCTGATGTATTAAAATTTGAATTTAATTATTTCATCAACACTTTTTTGGCAGCTTCAATGGGATCAGATCGGGCTTTATCACAAAGAATTATTGAAATATTAAGTAAAGATGAAAATATCACTTTTTATATATTAAAATTGATAATTTAATCTAATTTATTTTATTATGCTTGTCTTGATTTCATGCATGCTAAAAAAAATACTTTTACAGTGAATCAAATATCTACACTAGTATACTATGATAATTATTTATCACTACATAAAGAGCAGGGTGTGTAATTTCTTTACTTTCAGTAATATTATCATCGGTGAGTATTATTTTATATGGAAAAGAAAAAAAATTGGTTTGAAGAGTTTTCAACTTTTTTAGAATCGCCATTTAATTATTGAAGAAAAATCAAGAAAATTGACGTTTCCAAAAGATTTAAATAGATAAAATCATTTGAAAACATTTAGGGTTTCGAAGATTCATATTGTATTTTAGGATGGTGTTTAAGTAACCTAAAATACCCCTTTAAATACGGCTATCCAAGAGCTAATATTGTTTGGTTAATTTAAACTAACTAGAGTTGCTTTCGGAAATAAAATATTAATTTTATTATCTAAATGAGGTTTGCCAGATTTATTTTTTAGTCGATTTAAAATAAGTGATCAAAACGAGATGGCGTCTTGCGGAGGATTTGGATCTATTTAACCTTAAGACTAACGTCATATAGTCAACACATAAATAAACAATATGAAGAGATAAAGAGAGAGAGAGAGAGAGGATAGGGTCCAAAACTGGGTTTTCTGTTCACCTGGACAGGTATTTGGACCCACCTATTTTGGATTTTTGACCCATTTTGTCATCTCGAGTACTTGTCCTAAGTTCTAATAAAATATACAATATATAATAAATACCATAATGAAATACGACAAGGGCTTAAGCCCGATCATAACAAAATATAATACTAAAGGAACGAAACAAAATAGGCTTCGCAGTGGGCTTCTTCATCTCCCTTATAATTCTATACTTTGTTCCGGGACCTGCGTCATGTTTGGTAACTGGTTGACTCAAAATAGAGAGATTGAGCCTTTACGGCTCTCTCGAGATGCGAGAAGAGAGATAGAAGTACGGTGCAAACTCCGGCAAATTTCATGTGCAAATAGGGAGGGCGGGAGTTAATATTCAATGATAATATTTTAAATAGCAGTTTTTAAAGATAGTGACTATTAATTCTCATAGAATGATAAGGAACCAGAGGAAGCTAAATATGACAAGGAATTAAATTGGACTAATAAATAAGCAAAATCCTAAATGCTACCAAACGATTAGTTACACGAGGATCAGAGGAGAATTGGAATGACGTATGAGATGTTTTAGCAAATTATGAGCATGTGAAAAGATATTTCATCTCAAAAACTCATGATAAATAAACTACAAATCTTTGGTAGGCAAGATTTTTTACAATTAAGAGAAAGGAAACAAACGTTGATAGCGAAAATAATGCTACTGTATGTGGTTAACAAATAAGTTGTAACATTACACGTACTAAAAGCACTTAATCAATAAGGATTATGCTTTTGCAAAGACAGTTAATTTCAAAAGAAAAAAGTGAGTTGAGCTTATGGTTTACAATGACCCCTACAACAAACATGCATCAACTAAACTTATTATTAAACAAGCAAACCTGCTCTAGTATTGCAATATATTTCCCATAATTCAAACAACCCAAATAAAATTTAAAGTGAAAAATCCTCAAGCAATGAGAACAAGCTAGCGGATGTTTTATCGAGTCGAAAACGAATTTGATAGATTCTACATAGAAATCAAAAATCATACATATTTCAATGGTAGAACTTGAATTCTATCAAAAAAATAATACAATATTTGTAGTCAAGCCAACCAAATCCGATGTGTTCAAGGCAAATTAAGGAGAGACGGTCATTTCTTGGAACCAAAACCGACCCATAAATGAGGAAAAAGATTAAGTCTAATAAAACTTTTATAATACACCTCAAGTGATCATCTCAGAAAAAAGTGTAAGGAGCAAATAATGATGATTTTTCGAGACACAAAGAAGGAAAACTAAGAATATATGATTGACTCTAGTTGAACTAACTAAAATAAAACGCACAAGAGGAAGCTATGGGGAATCACATATTACGGAGGTGCATTTTATCACAAACGAGATAGGCATGGGTGAGATGATAATTTAGACTAATAATCGAAGCTTCAAAATTCAAGCAGTTTAAACTACAACCCTAAACAAATCTGACAATATCTCGAACCGAATGGCAAGGAAATATTCCCCCACCTCCCAAACCTTCTGAACAAAATGCTTGTAGAACATCATTCCAAACATCATATACACTCCAAATAACTAAATACAAGTTTATAATGCAACCCATATGCTTAATAAATAGTGAACTAGAAAAGAAGAGGAAATAGATGCAAGAAAATAAAATGAACAGTAACGGGAAAGACGTACTATAATATTTAATGGAATATAGGCGCACAACATTTACACTCCCTATTAGCTAATTCATATTTTGACTAAAATTCATGAAAATAATGATAGATTCGAAAAAACCTCGTACTTCGAAACTAAGACGATTAAAACACTTTGAGAGTTAAACGAAATGCAATCAAAGAGAAACTCGAAAATGTGAACAGGAACAATAATAAGTTCAAGCTAGAAAGTAGTTCGAAACATGAAAATTCCATGCCTACACACTTAAACCATATTAGAAAATAATCGATTCTAGAATACTAAGTGACAAAATTGAAATGCCTTGCAAACGTAACCAACAGTAGGACGAACATACAAAAAAAACATAGAGAACATGTGCTCTGTTCTCAATCTCCATAGATATTTGAAGACGAGGAAATTACACAAATGAGACACATTACATTGACCGACCAAGTTTATGCTCATTAAAACCATACAAAAAAAATATTGTCATGCAGTAGCAGTAAAATCAAGAAATGAAAGTCATGCAGAGATTCAAAAAAAAAATAGAACAATACTAGGAGCGATTTGAAATTTAGAGAAGAATTTCACCTCCTTTAAGGTAGCGAACGGAGACGGGATGAGCGAGGAACAAACTTTTATCACAAGGAACTCAAATGCCAACGATAATCAGAGGAACTGGGCAGCCAATCGAGAAACTTCCCTATTCGAAAGTGTCATTAAAGAATTAGAATGCTACTCTCTTCTTTTAAAAAGAAATTGTTCAAAGATCTTCTTACTCAGAATAACAACTCCAAAACCACTCTCACAATTCTTTCCATTTTTTGGCTTTTT